AATAGTTGGGATCATCAGGTTTGGTTATTTGACTATATATCCGAAACAATAGCCATATTATCGTAAAAAGTCATCATAACTAATCGAATTTGCGCATTGCTTCTGCAATATTTTGAAAACAAAATACATGTTTCTGATTTTTCCAGTATAACTAGAGAATAGATTAACATTGAAAATCACATCACATAGTAGAAACTAAGAGACTGATCACTGGAGAAATGCCCAAATGTACTATTGTTGAAGCATCATTTCTTATTTTTTTCGACCGATATTTAGTCTGTTTCGGTCGGACGTAGTGGATTTGAGGGTGTGGGTGGAAAGAGACAACAATCACACCCACACCCTAAGTGCCCATATTATATAGAATATTTCAGTTTCAATGATTGTTTCGAGGAATCACAATTCTAGCCTAAATTCGTTCGAATTCGATACAAGAACGACGAAAATAACGAACTGTATAGGTTAAAATAATCATGAATGTTTGATGGATTCAAATAAAAGATGTATCTAATGTTTGTTAAACGAAAACGTTCACTAATTATCTAATAAATACTTGGTCGGCTGTGATTTGACATTATTCACTTTCGCTTTATCATTATTAGTCCCAAAAGAGAAAAAAATCTTCATTTTTTCACAATATGAAATACGAAGAGAGAAAGTGCATTTTATGCCAACTTTTTATAGAAGAATTTATAAGCTTCTTTCACAAATATTTGAGATGAAAATTGAACTCTTGAGCTAGAAATTAGAAAAAAAAAAACTAATTTTTTTTTTTACTGTGATCATTAAATTTTATCTTACTTAATCATATAATATATTTCTAAGAAAACAAAAACAAACTTATGTTTTCAATGGGAAATGCATAGCTGTATTTGTAAACAAAAGTTTTCGACGGCAATAGAAGATACCCTGCAATAAATCCTGTAATTCCATATTAGAATGGTAGAGAATTTTCAGACGAATATATATATATAGAAAAAAGCCAAGACAGGTTTTTTCTTGTTAACATTCGAACTGTAATAATATCGTTATCAGTCATAAAATTAGAGTGAATAATATTTATGTTATGATGAAATATAAGAATTTATTTCAAAATAAATCGAGAGAAACAATATAACTATTCTGATAACGAGCTTCTAAGTTTTTATGATCAAATAAGTCATGTAAAAAACTAAGACGAATTTATGATGATTCTTTTTTGTTCTTTTATCAAATTATATAGCAATAAAGTTGCTTCTTCGTCAAATGCATATATATATATATATATATATTTCTTATCAACATATTATTCTTTTTTTTCCTATGCCGAAGTCCAAACGTAAAGTACTTGTTCTTCACTACTTTTTTAATAATGATGACTTTTTAATGAAACGAAACGAAATTCGCCCTGCTCATCTATCATATCTTCGTCAACATTCAAATCACAATGGTAACAAGGTTGAATTCAAAGTGGCTGAATCATTAGATGGTAAGAGTTTTTATTGGCCTTTAACAACACATCACAATGAAATAATGCGATTTATGCAAGAAGATCCATATTACACAGAAGGACTTGTTCGTGATGTAACCATCTATATGCATACAATTATTGAGAAATGTTCATCATAAAAATATAAATTTTATTTTATTCATATAAAATTAATAAATGTTCAATCAATATACTTCCGACAAAAATAAAATAAAAGAATTTTATTCTATTCGCAAGAAAATAAATGATATAAATACAACAAATAATTGTAATAATGAGGATTATGAAGGTTAGAATAAATTATGAATTTCTACTCCAAGTATCATATTTCAAGTATTTGATAATAGATCAAATCTTTGTAAAATGACAACAATTTTATCATCTACTATTTTTAATGTGCATGAATATTCTACAGCATTGATGATTTCCTTTTGATAGTTGATCATTATCTTAACGCTTTACCTTCCAGAATGGTTTCAGAAGAGTTACTAATAAAACATCTATTGAAATAGAGTATTGAGTGTGTAGGTTGGACCTCTTCTTGTACAATACGGACATCCACACACCCATACCCGTACCTCACAGTCACCCACACCAAGGATTTATAAATAACAGCAATCTATTTACCTATCGATACGTAAATATTAACAAGTGTTAGGCTTAGGCGACAGTGCCTAAATTTTTTTTCATGTCATTATCCTCTAATGACAAGTCCAGTTGTCATTAATATGTCATACAATCTCTTATTCAATTAATTCGTGAGAAAATTTTGAAATACATTTTATTCAATAGTAGCCACTTTCATCAATATCTATCACACAGTATACCATCAAGATATATATTTCTCGCGGGTAAAGAAAATCAATTAATAGAAAGAGACCTTTCTTTGTAATAATCTAATAGTCTTCTCTTTCGTTAGTCATATGTCTTGGAGACAGAACAGTGATACAAAATTTGTTTTTTTTTTAGTAATTGGCAGTTTAGGGAATTCTCTCTGCATATACTGTGTATGGAGCTTTTTAATATCGTGCGTTCTGCATGTTCTTCAATGCATCTAAAAATAGCAATTTCAGTTGCCAATAGAGATAAACGGTTAATATTAAAAAAAAACAAAAAAGAATCTTTTGTTCATAATTGTTTTATTGATTTCAATTAAAAACTTTAAATGTATTTTTAAATTTAATTGTCTAACTCATGAAATCCTTTTCCATTGGTGACATTATGTGCAACTTGTTTTATTTTTTTATGAATCATTGCTGCCAAATGTTGTTGTACACGTTGAGCTGTTTTATCCGCTTTCGTAGCTGTTTTGAGACCCTTAATAAAAGTTCCACAATCATTACTTAATAGTTCTTGATTGGTAGTATTCGTTAAATATGTAATGAAATTAGCTGATTGCAATTGTAAGATTGAATCATACGATGAATTTGCTTGAAGAACATCGATAACTGAAAGTATTTTTGTTAGATAAGTTTGTGCTATTGTATTATTTGAACAAAATTTTGTAAATTTTCGATTTATTCTGAATTGTTTATAATCCAAACGTGGTAGATTCTTTCGTTCTAAGTGTGATTGATCTTTATCATGATATGCTAATGTCAAGCCTATAGCAAAGAATACCTATTTAAAAAAACTAAAAATAAAAATTTTACATATTACAAAATGAGAATTAGTTACCAAGAAAAATAAGAATAACTTGCACATTTCGAAAATGTTCTACTCAACTGAAATTCAATCTAGTTTTATAGTATAATATGTAGATTGTATTTGTTTTGTTGTTTCATAAAACTCGTGATTTTCTTTAGTGATGATACAGGAATTAAAAATCAATATGACAAGAACAAATAAAGAATGAGTAAATTTACTTTTTGATCAACTTTTAATATTTTACTTGAATGCATAAAATAAATTAATGAAAGAGTTATATCTTACAGTTATTCATCGAAGTATTAATGTAAAGAACATGTTCAGATTGCTGACACACATTCATATTTGTCGCCAAACAGATTTATTAGAATAACATTTATAACTCAATAAAAAAAAAAGCATGTCTCATAGACTCGATAAGCAAGGGCTTTTTTTCTCGGTGAATTATTATTAAAAAAAAACTGTGTATGAATAGAATGATTGATGTTTTTGACAGTTGTACAACATGAAAACAACTACCTATATTAATCAATATTTTCTTTTGGTTAGCAATATTTCAGCCGGTTAAAGATCTTTTTTCATTGTTAAACGTAATATTGATTTGGAAAATATTCGAAGAATTTTCTCGATTGAGCTATATTGCTTCAAGATTATTTGGTAATGTCATAAGTAATTCACGTTGTTGTTTTTTTAAGAAATTATATCTGTTTGTATTTTGTGATACTTCTCTGATAAAATGTAGTTTTTCTGAATTTATCATTTTTTTTTTTGTTCTGATGAAAGAACCAAAGTAACAAATTGCATTGCAAACTGTTGTTAACAATGATGTGTTGTAAAAAAAAACGAAAAGAAAAATATTGAAAAAAGTGATATCTCTTGTAAATGCTGATTTATTCTCTATAGGTTATTATTATTTTTGGTATTATTCTATTGATCTGTCACTATAACTATTAGTAACAGTGATGAGTAATAATTGTTAGAGAAGAACTAAAATGGTCTGAAAAATAATATTATACAACTGAAAATCTATTATCATGACTACAGTAGCTTCATCTTCACTATATGAGAATCATTCATCAACGCCAATTATTTCATTTATTCAGTCGTAAACAAGAAAATCTTTGCTTGTATCAGATAAAGACATTTTATAATCGAACAAAGTAACAACGACTACCAAATATTGGATATGTACACGTATTGAATGTTCAGTGACAATTTATATAAATATGAATAATCGGTTAACATTGCCACTCTCCAAAAAAAGAAAAAATAGATCTGTACAAATTTCATAAATGTAATGGAATATTTAGATGGCTTGTCATTTACAATTGCTAAACTTTCTTTTTTTTTTGTATCTCTTGATTTGTGTATGATCTATGTTACAATAGTAGTATTATGCTAAAAATTAAGAATGTCTGGCTAATTGAAACTTTCGATATTTTTCCTTTAGGTCTTTCTACATCCAACTCTAACAATAATCGAAAAATTACTATTTTCATTGAATCTTTATACTTAATGTTATCGATAGAAATAACATTATATGTCAAAAAAAAAACCCAGTTCTCGCTAGAGATTCTAAGAATACTAAATAATGCTGCGTAATAGAATAGCAATTAGTGCATGGCTATCTAAGCAATAGCCTTACTTATTTACTCAATCTGAAATAAACTTATTTCAAAAGTACAACAACTTTACGGACAACTATTTCAACCGATCAAACAATGTGAGCAAAAGATCTAGAATTGTTATTGTTGTCTTATTCATCACAACAAACTGATGTTCATATGTGCCAATAGCACTTATTACAAATATAGATGAAAAATCTTTTATCATTTTTTTTTTTTATTCTTCGTGTTATTTTCTTATCAGCAAAACTGATAAAAATTTAAAAAAGATGTTCGATGTCTTCATCGCTATCGAATTCATAGGGTGCATTGCTTCTAGTTGCATTACGTACAACTTGTTGGAATGGTCTGTGAATATCGGAAGCAATTTGTTGTCTTGTACGTTCAGCTGTTTTGTCTACTGATTTAGCTGCCTTTAAATTAGTCACAAAAGTTGTACAATTCGTTAATAGCAATGCTTGATTCGTTGTATCTTGTAAATATGAAACAACATTAGCCATTTGTATTTGTAAAACTGAATTATACAATGAATCTGCTTGAAGATTATTAATAAGAGAAAGTATTTGAGAAAGATATGATTGGGATATTGTAGTATTTTTACAGATGCTTGTTGGAGTACGAGCACGAAAATATTTACCAAGATTAAAAAATGATAAAAGAAAATCACCAGGAAAAGCTAATGTCAATCCAATGACGAAATATAGCTAAAATGAACAATATTATAATCTTGAATAGTAATTCAATAGCTTACCACAGCGAGATATAAAAATTTTTCCATGATTATTTCCAATGACTTAGTAAATAGTGAATTTTATTCTATTTTTATAGTAGTATTGGATGATAACATCAGAAAAGGTTTCTATTTTTTCTTAATAAGATGCAGCAAATGCTGTAGAATTTATAATACCTTAAGTGGCAACACTTTTTCAATTTTACATTAAGATAGAAGCGCGACAGATGCTCTCGAGATTATTCAGAAGCTTATAGACAATAAAAGAAAACAAATAATTTTTGCCTGAACTTACTTTACTTTTGATAGATTGATGATATTCATGGAGTGAAAAATGTTTTCATCATTTACTGATTAAATATTGAACTATGTCATTTAGCTTCTCGATTCAATAAATGAAAAATGATAAATTTGACTGTTTGATATCGGTATCTGCCACCTAGAATCTATGTAACTATCTCAAACTAAATATCCTTATATAAAATATTCACAAATTTTAGTTTGATCGATATTCGAAAAATAGGCAAGTGAACCATTGAAAAGTCCATTTCAATATCAAAATTATCGTTAAATGACATGAATGAATTGCGATAAAATATCATCTTATAGAAATAAATGATAGATTATTTTCTCACTCTATTACATTAATATACGATGCAATATATGTCAAAAAAAAAATTAGAAAATGATGCTTTATTTTATCACAAAACCATATACAGTGATGAATATAAATTTATAGCAGTTGTATTTTTAAGCTGTCTTCTTTATGGTCATAGCCAGCAAGAATCTGTAAAATCATTTGTGCAACTAAAAGGATTCTCAATCAGGATTGGTATATCTGAATACTTCAACAAAAATGCTTGAATGAGAGTCTACAAAAAACCGAGACTTCCAAAACCAGTTTTCTGGCTTCCATTCGAAGCTTTTAGGAAAAGATTTTTATTTGATAGAACAAATGATTCTGAGCATGGTTAGACATCTCCTATCTCTCCATAGTCCTTCTTCATTGCACTGCATTCAATTTACAGACGGTTCAAAAAGCATTATTCTCTTCATGTTATTAAAAACAATAACTTGCCAAAGTGAATATCGACTGTAAAATCAATTTGTATGATGTAGGAAAGAATCTATCGCATCACACACTTATATGTAAATATATTCTTGTTCATTTATTTAAAAATCAGTCTTATACTTGATGACCATCTTGTTTATCATCATGTTGGTATTCTTACTTTAATGATCTAAATATCGTATGATATAAAGATGGAATTTATACCAAGTATTCATTTCAGTTAGTTTGCTTACAAGCAAATCAATCAAAGAATGCAAGATATTGTTTAGGAAGCTGCAAAACAAAAGCAGTAGTAAATCAATGGTTTATATAACTGCAAACCAATTCGGCAATGATGGAATCAACTTGATGTTGAACTCTCAATCACCAATCTATTTGTAAGTGTACCTCATTTGCTAAATACTGTTTAGTTCCTTGAAATAGAAATGGTTTTCCATAGATTCGATTTTTTAAACAAATTTTCGAATTCATTCAATAATTATAAGCTAGTCTTCCGATTGAAAATATTAAATTACTCACTCTTCTTTATGGACTATAAGCAACAAATACCGTACGCTTTGTCTCCAACAATCTTACAAGCAACCTAATCATCGATCGTTTCTATCTTAGTAATAATCTCGACTCAACGGTCCTTGATCCAAGACATTTTCCCACCCGAAAACTATGATCAATTAGATAGAGCATGTACGTGCACATATTCGAGTTGTTGTTTCCATCTGGATGAAACATGCAAAATGGCAACTGATAGTAATTCTATGAGTATCATAGATTTTCGAACTCGTATGAGAAATGCGGCAATTTTACAAGTAGCTGATATGTTTATACTTAACAGTAGATACACACAAACCTCTTGCATATGCTATGTGTGAAAAATTGGTACCTATGATTTTAGAAAAAACAGATTATTCGTTAACTACCAGCATCTTATACATGTGAACAATTTTGGTTTTCTGAGAACAAAAATAAAGATATTACCTTACACTTTTCTGTTTAAATAGCGTAGCTGAATGGTAAAGTAAATGTCATCTTTTGCAATATGATTTAAAGTATCAATAAAAAATGATCTAATCTTAAACAAGATTAAGCATCATAGGATAATTTTTAATGTTAAAGTTCAACGAGTATTCGTCTCATAAAAAAAAAGAACATCTTCAAGTTTTATGTCTGTTTATTCTTTCACTGAAATAATAATTGGCAGAATAATCCTTGTTCGATTTTCAAATCATCGAAATAATTACATTTGATTCTTGTTCATCATAAAATTGCAGTTTATTTATTTCAAAATTTCATTTCATCAAATAAAAAACAAGTTAGTTTTTATATATATATATATATACAATAAAATATGTTCGTTCATTATAGTTTAAACAAAAAAATGAAAAAGAAAACCAACGAATTTAATTTATTGTTCTTATTCACTTATATCTGTATCAATGGATGTATCAGCTAATTGATGAGTAGTAATCATCATTCTCATTTCATTAATTAAATCATTTAATGAAAGTGAATTCTCTCTAATATTTTCACTTGGTAATGAACAAAGTGTTGTTTGTAAAGCAGTTAAACATTCCATTAATATTGATTTATTAATATTACCCTTAAAACAAAAAAAATAAGCAAAGAATTTTAGTTTCTTGTTCTGTTTTTTTTTTAAAATAAATTCTATATACTTGTTGAAAAATACGTGTAATGAATTTAAATGTAAGTTTACTAATATTTCGACAAATCATTTCTTCATCATTTTCTTCATCATTAATTAACATTTTTGTTCGTTGTCGATTAATATGAAGAATAAAAAGTGAACGAAGTAATTGAAGAATTACAAGAATTGATGATATTTGTGAATCTAATTAAAAAATTATTAATTAAAAAACCAAAGACAAGAAAAGCTTGATTTTTTTGTTTTCTTTATTTACTATCAAAAATTTTTGTTTCAATGTAATATTCAATACCAGATATATTTGAAAGAATTGTTGAAATTTTAGAATTATTTTCTATTGAATGTATTAAACAAGCTGTTGTTTCTTCACTTACATTTAACTATAATAAGATTTTTAAATTAATAATGAAAAACAAAATTCATAGACAGTAATGAAAAGATAAGAGAAACTATGAACAATGATGAGTTTCTTTTTTTAGATTAGAATGAGATGAAATAATTTTGATGAATTTTGTTTTTTCACGGCAGAATAAGACGCAAAATAAAAAAAAACATCATGTCCTATGATCTACGTTCTATTAACTGAATTGATTTTGAAAATTACACTAGAAAAATCAAGTTCATTTTACCGAAAAATCATATTTTCGAACAAAAAAAAAAAACTTGGAGTTTTCTTCTAGGAGGAAGAGATGATGCACCGACTCGAGCTTATTAGAAAAATAAACTATTTGAACATTTTGTTCGAGAAGAAGCTTGATTTGCATGCTCTTAGTTTTTTCATAAGTACTTTAGTCAACCCTATTGCTGTGTCCAGTTATTTTTCCTTTTAGAAGTGCCGTTTGAAACTCTGAGTGGCCGACAATAACCTTGAGAAATGTGATTTCAATCTTTGCGCAAGTATTGTCACCCGACCTTCACGTTAGATATAACCCTACTCAATCTGTAGTGCATGATTTATTCTTAAAGAAAATAGAATGATCCAAAAGAACTTATCTTTTTAATAGTATGTCCGATGTATTTTTTTTCTTAAAAAACAAAACTTATTAGTCCAATCCTTGTGGGATTAAAATGTGAAACACGATGTAACTGCTGTTATTATTCATAGAAAGATTGTTTTATTCTATCTATTTTGGAACACATTTCTTCATCATCCTTTTACTTAATCCTTCAAAAATGCAATAAGGAAGTAGTTCATTTATTATCTGTGACATTTCCATGGTAATGTCTCTCATGGTCTATGGACAGGTTTATTGATATTTTTTATGAATGGAGAGGGGAGGAACTGAAAATTTAGCAGAAAGTGCTTTCATCTTTGGAGTGCTAGAAGTAGTGATCGGTGGGATGAAGAACGAAGACGCTCGCACACAGATCACATGCTATCAGGCCGTTCCTCCCTAATCCTATTCACCTCGCAACAACTTTGTCTGCTTATTTTTTATTTCGCTACCTATCAGAGAAACCCGATTTCTGTCCAAAGTTACCATGAAACTGTAAAAATTTGATAGAAAGTCAATCATTTTGGGAGGAAGTGCAAATTTCTATTCTAGATACTTCGAGATTCCTTTTAGGTCGTGTTTAATAAAAATTCTTTAACCTTGAATATATTCACATAAACATGAATAATATAAGGCCATATTGTCGTTGATTGAAATTGATCTTCATTCATTTGAATAAGACTTAAAAGATAATTTAAAGCTAATTTTTGTGTTCGATTATTATCTTGAAATATTCCACTTGACCAATGATAGATCATTTTTGTTGAAAACATTTCTGGATAAATTCTACATTTAGTTATAAAATTTTTTTTTTTTAAATTTTTCTTAAACATTTTCATTATATAGAATACTTACGTTAATATATCATTAATTAATTTATAAATTGAAGTTGTATTTGGTACAGATAGAAGTTCAAATTCATCAGATGAAATTTTTATTAGGAAATGTTGAATATATTGACGAATAGATTCTTTTTCAAATTCATTATGAGTTAATAATGTTCGAAAAACTCGAATCGAATTATTAAAATCAGATTTATCATCCTATATGCCAGAAAAAAAAATAAATCAAGAATTCTTACAAAAAAGAAAAATTTTTTAAACTAACTTGTGAAACAATCGAATAAATACATTCATCAAAAATTTCTTTAGATATCCATGAATTTGGCCAAATTTCACATAATTCAATCAATGCTTGATATGCCATATGACCAATTTGTGATTCAGAATCACTTAAATCGAAAAAATAAAATGAAATTAAAATAGAATAAAAAAAACTTACGAAAGACGAGGAACTATTGCTTTGGTAAAAACCATTGATA